CTGTTGTTTCTGTAATTTGTTATAAATCTGTATGAAAATTTATTAATAACCCTCATGCATTTTTAATATTGTTCGCATCAGATCATCCAAAGCAGTACAGTTCTGTGTGTAGCAGTTCCAAAATCCCGTTACAGGGGCGAAGGGTATTATCCTCGCAATCTGCAAGCAGATGCACAGGAAGGAAGAATGAGGTTTCAAATGTTTCTTCCATTTCCCCAAGTATGGAAACTAGCACTAGCAATTTTGTCTTCCCAGAGCTAACTATTAGTCCACTGAGAAGGTTCCAGTTGATCGACTCTGATTCTGATGAGCTTTCTAAAAGTGAAGCCATGGAAAAAGAATCAGAACATGTAAATTCTCCTTTGAGCGGTAATCCACACAATACTGGTGCAGATTCAAGTTGCCAGAGAAATGCAGGACTTTCTGCTGGAAAGTTAAAGACTAGAGATCTGTGGGAAGACTTCTGTTCAGATAAGACCTTTAATATTTCTACACCTGCTCTTGATGAGGTTTGTGAAGAATATTTCAAATCAGTAAAACATGGAAAAAACACGCAGACTATTAACAGTGGTTTAACTGAAAGTAGCGTGCGACCTCAGGGGCCCCTTCTCCCTGCTCACTGTTATTTTTTCCATAAAGATCCAAGAATCCAGAAGCTAGTTCGTAATCGTTTGCCTAACTTTTTTCCTTTGGGTGCTGAGAACATTCCTGGACAAAAGCAAGATGATGCATCAGTTATAGATTACATGTAACACATTTGCTTCTTGCTTCTGTGTTAGTTTTTTTGTCATGAATTATATGATTTATTCCAAAGATCTTTGTGCATGTTGTCTTCAGGGGCCAATTTTGTCACGAAGGAGGCTCTAAAACGACTTCTAAGAATGGCGCTGTTGCGACAAACTCTAGAAAGAGCAGAAAGAATGTGAAGCAACCAAATTCTGTGGAGGAATCTCAAGGATCCGAGAGATGGGTGAACCCTAAAAGCTCTGCTGGGATTCCAAAAGATGCCGGCAGAAGAAGGGTCCAGGCAGTTGGCAAATCAGCGGGTCATTGGTACACAACTGGAGATGGAAAGAAAGTAAGTTGATATTTGATTCAATTGTTAAAAGCAGGTCATAGATACACTTGTTGAATTTTTTTTGGGTTAAATAGTCATTGACGATCTTAACAAATTCAAGAAGATGTACTGTAGATGTTGGTTGCTGCTGAAATTTGGGTAGAGTTTGTACTAGATTAGTATGCTTGATGTCTAGCCATGGTTGGGATATGGATGTCAGTGGGTAAATCACTAAATTTTATCTCATTCTCCTGCAACTTGGAATACTTGTTAGACATTTGTGTGTTTGTGTAGTTTCATGGAATCTCCTTGTTCTTTTAGGATTGATTCATGACATTCATGAAATCTTTTTGGTGTTATTTTAGAGTTGATTCATGACATTCTATCTTCTGTACATTAAGCAAAGAGTTGATCTACTGCTCTTTATCAGGTTTATGTCGCCAAAAATGGGCAGGAGTTTTCTGGTCAAAGTGCATATAGATGTTACAGAAAGGTAAATGTTTCTCTATTTTCTTCATTGCTATAGTTAGTAATGGATGTGAACACTGAAATCTTTGTTCTCTTTTTATGTCAACGTCTTTTTGGCTTGATATGTTGTGATTGATAAAGTTTGATAGTTTGAATATCTTTCTGTATTTCTGTGTGTGCTTATCATGTGATTACCTGAAACCAAATTAGCCTGGTCATCTTTAATCACACGAAGTACTCTTTCTGGGGATTGACTTGCCTACCCAATGATTTAGACTTGATATTAGTTGAAAATAGATAGTTATGGTCAACATTTTGTGGATCCTATATACACAATCATCTGATGAAATCATATCCTGTATTTTCTCCTTTCGCAGGAGACTGGAGCTGGGTTTAAAAAGTCAACAAAGAAGAGAACCGGCAAAAGGAAAGCAGCTTCAAAGAAGAAATAGAGCCCCTGTAAGAAAAGAATATACACTCCTGTATTTGCCATGTTCATGTCAATATGTTCTGGAAAAAGAAATTTTGATCAACCAATGTATTGTATATGAATTTGTTTTCTATGTTGACAGATAATACAAAATAACTATATTTGACAACTTATTAACTCAACCCAATGCATGATATTTCTTCCTTCATATTTTCTTTTCTTTTTCCAATTATGATCCAATTAACTGTAATTGCTTAGGCCTATTCGTACTGAAAATGATCATTCTACTACTATAGCAAAATTAATAACACTCTTTGACATGAAATTTAAAACATAGTAAATATTAACTGTGTAAAAGTCATCTCATGACTTTGATGAGTGGAACTATTCATCTCCTCTAAAGTTCTGCTGACGCCATGTTTTGCTATGAAAAATATTTACTCGCAGTCAGTGACTGCACCAAACTGCATTCATATAACTTAGCAAACAATTATTGGATGTGTTCATACAGATTGGTCAACACTTGATACATAAAAATCCTCATAAAATCGGCTAAGTTTGCAATATACTATGTGGGGTTTTCTATTGGTCTCATGATCTATAATTTTTTGCGTTTATACAAATATAGAACAAATTTTAGAGGGAGGTGTTGTTCACGCGCCAGATATCAGATATGTGACCAAAGTATCTGCCATGCTCATGCTAATATGCTGTGGAAAAAGAAATTTGGATTAGCCAAAGTATTGTACATATAGTACCAAAAATTTTTCTATGATGACAGCAAATACAAAAAGATTCAGTTCCAGATATCTTACAATAAATACATTTAAATATGATAATCCAAGGCACAAAATATTTGATTTTGCAATGTTCTGCCACAGGTCTTTGGAGTTGTTAAAGACTATACGCATCTAACCCTATCATCCTTCATTCAGTCTCTTCAAATAGAATGGGATTTTTACACAAATAGCCATTTATATTCTTTTTTTTTAGCCATATACATAAATTATACATTGATTATACACAATTATACACATATAATACATAAATTATGCATATATTATATCTCCACCGGCTATTTTTAGTTTTAATAGTTGGGTGACCAACTATTTGGGTTAATTCTTCAAATAGAATTGGTCTAAAAAGGATAGACAAAATAAAAAGTACAAATAACAACAAAAAGATTGTAAACTAGAAAAGAAAAACAAGCTTAAGAAAGAGTAGAGATATGCTTTTCTATAATTCATTTTTTTTTAAATTTGTTTTCGTCATCTTTATTTATGTTTGACTATAATATAAAGTAGTTAAGTTACATAGAAGGATAAAATTCAAGATTAAAAAATTTTAAAGTAAAATTAGTTAGTTTTCTTACACTAAGTAGAAGAGAAAAACAAAAGGGTCAAATTTGCCCATTTTCCAGCTAGTTTATTATGCTAATTATGATCGAAGTAAATTTTTGTAATATTTGGAGCCACAATAGAGGTATATGTTACCAATCGAAATCTCATAGAGGTTTGTGAAAAATATTCCAAAATACATAATAAAAGGGAAAGAGAAAAAAGGGAAATAAATAGGAATATATACATAAATAGCCGGTTAAATTCACTGTCTATATTTCCTACGTTATACATAAATTATACACGGTTATACACACATTATACATTATTGTACATCATTCGACTATTTTAGCTTAAGTGGTTTGGTGGCGGTTATTCAGTCAAAATAGCATGGGCTGACCGTTTTTTACATTGGTATTGAAAAACAACCACTATTTAATGCGGAGATAAAATCTAGACAAAAATACTCTTAACTGAAATATGGAAAAAAATCAGTATAATATGTTGGATTCTAGAACTCATGCATATACAAATTCAGCATATTATGTTAGAATTCCACCACATTATGAATTTCATACATTATGCTTGAATTTTATATGTAAAAATTCGGATTCCATCATATTATGCCGGAATTTTCCAGGATTTGTAACGAAGGGTATTGGTTCAAATTTTATTTTCGCATGAAAAAGTAGCTAAATTTTGATTAATTGTGAAACTGTAGCTAACTTTCAGTTAGCAATTGCAAATCAAGCTTTTTCCAAATTTCTCCCGGCTATTTACGTTAATGGGCTTAGGCTATATCTGTGGTGATACTAATATTGTCTCCTTTTGTCTTTTTGTCTTCTTGAGCCGAGGGTCTTCCGGAAACAGCCTTTCTACTCTTTCGGGATAGGGGTAAGGTCTGCGTACACATTACCCTCCCCCGATCCCACTAGTGGAATTTTACTGGGTTGTTGTTGTTGCTGGGCTTAGGCTATATGCCACTTGCATCTGAAGGGCCTTTTTTTTTCTTTCAAAACCAAGCAGCCTAATAGCCCAAAAAACAGCCCACAAAAGCCATAAAACCCGCGAAAAGAACTGACCGGATCCCTGAAACCTTTTATTTAAGGGATTTTTACCTATCTATACCATATATCAAACCTTATTAACAAAAATGTTCATAATTTGTTATTTACCCATGTAGTCCACACTTTTACTACAAATTATATACCAATCCAAAAATAGGTTGATTTTGCCATTAAAAAAGCCCTAAAATGAAGGCACCAGATCTGATGTGATTCTATCAAGGATTTTATTCGAATTTTGAAACTGAAGGAGATCTCTCTTCCTGATGAAGGCACCAGATCTGATGAAGGCGCCAGTTGCGTAATTCTCTCCTTCCTCAACAGAAAGAGATCTCTGTTGATATCAGCTACAACAAAAAACGCAATCAAATTGTACAATTACTGATGAGAGACTATATCTGTTCTTCGTCTCAAATTGTACAAAATTGCTCTTCGTCGATATCAGTACTCAAATTGTAGAAACTATATCTGTTCTTCGTCTTTTTTCCTATCAACTACACGAAATCATGTCAAAAATCCCAATAATGCTGAAATCGAATGGTAATTGGGATAACTATGGCAGATTTAGAGATTTTGAAGTTGATGCCATTGTGGTAGATGATAATGCAAGCTACGGAATTCTCAGTTCTACAATTGCAGAACAATTATCGATTGATACATCGGATAAAATTATAGAAATCAAATACATTGTGAACGAGAATTGTCCTCCAATGGAGATTAGGAATGATATGGGGGTTCGTGCTTACATGGAAACCAAAAAGGAGAATAAAAACTTAGGTTCGTATCCTTTATGTATAAGCGTAAGAGATTTCAATATGGAATTGGCAATCAACAATGAAAGCACCAGTGCAGGTATGTTTGATTCGACATTGCAGAGAGTTATGGTGTTACTATGTTATCTACAATATTACTACAATTACCTACAATTAAACTACAAAGCTCACATAGTACTGAAAAGGATAAAGCAATGTTGCTTTCAAAATTATCTACATAGAAACTACATTTATGAATTTATTGTTTGCAGGTTCGTCTGGATCCCTAAACTTACTTGAATTTCCATCCTCACCAGCTATAGAGGAATATCAAAGTGAAATAATAACTGAATCTACGCAAACATATATTGAAGAAGGACAAGTTTATCAGGACAAGCAAACAGTAGCTGCTGCAATGAAGAATTATTCAGTGATGCACAAGTTCCAGTTCAGAGTAAAAAGATCTAGTCATAGAAGGTATGTAGTTATTTGTGGATAATATATCAGCAAAATCAGTATATGATTGAAGATAGGTGGGTTTTATAAATTGTAGTTAAATTGTAGTCAATTTGTAGTTAATTGTAGTTTTTTCATAAATTTGTGTAAATATTGTATTTCTTTTGTAGCTACTGGCTTATATGTGTTGCTGAAAGCTGTAAATGGCATTTCAAGGCAACGTCAATTAATGATTCGGCAATGTTCAAGATAAGAAGTTTCAGCCGTCAACACACATGATGCCTAATGGACGAAACATTCATACAGCGCAAACGTACTGCAGCAGTACTTGGTAGCATGGTCGTTCCAAAATATTGTGATCCTAAGACTGTTTACACACCAAAAGACATACAAACTGACATGTTATCCGAACATGGACTGAACCTAAGCTACATGCAAGCATGGAGA